GCTTTGAGAGTAACAGAAGGTAGCACAGTGGGTTTTTCCCTTTCGGTAATAAGTTTTCCCATAAATTCCTTCATCTTCATTCTTCTTGATTTCAGGCTCGTGAGATGTTCGATGGGGAATTTGAGAGCCTGAAAGCCATTGTCGCCACAGGTGCAATAAAAGCTCCTACGCCCCACTTGGTTGTTGATAATCCAGCTGGTGGGGCAGTCCTTGTTATGGAATACTTGGATATGCATGGCCTGAATAGACAGTCTGGAGCTCTCGGCGAACAGTTAGCCAGGTAATTATTGGAGTTTTGGATGTTGATATATATTTTATATCATGAGTGAATTTTGACTTTCATAATTTTTTCAGTGGATTAGATGGTAATAGAGAATACTGAATTTTTGGGGGGTATTTCCAGGTTTGAATTTTTTATTATTATTATCACTATTATTATTGTTTATTATTTTTTTAATTATTATTATTTGTGTATCCATGTGCTTGTGCATGTGTAAAATTAAGGCTGTGTTTCTGAGAAATTATACTAACATTATTATTACTTCCCACATAAAATGATATCATGCAATTTCTCAATTTACCCCAACAGAATGCACCTCCATAATATAAAGAAAATAGAGAAGTTTGACGAGAGCCGTGTTGGTGGCGGGGAGGAAGCAAAGCCTGTGACCCAGTTTGGATTCTCTGTTCCAACCTGTTGCGGCTATTTACCCCAGGATAATACGTGGAATGATGACTGGGTTGTGAGTTTGTCCATTCTATTATTGTATTAGTATTCACATATACATACACATACACACACATACACACACGCACATACACACACGCACATACACACACGCACGCACGCACGCACGTATACACACACACACACACACACACACACACACACACACACACACACACACACACACACACACACACACATATGCACACACACACGCACACACACACGCACACACACACACGCACACACACACACGCACACGCACACACTCTCACTCTCTCTCTCTCTCTCTCTCTCTCTCTCTCTCTCACTCTCTCACTCTCTCTCTCTCTCTCTCTCTCTCTCTCTCTCTCTCTCTCTCTCTCTCTCTCTCTCTCTCTCTCTTTTACATGTACATAGTGATGAATAGATAAACAGAAACTTACTATCATTACCATCATTATGATAAAATTCAGATTTTTTTTCCCATGGCAGTTGATATGGACTTTATAGATGAAGTTTGATGCTAAAGGTTTCTTACTGTTTCATTATTCATTAATTTTTTATTATCCATTTCTTGTTTTGTAAAGATGACTGAGCAAGTCATAAGACTGTAATTATGAATGTAAAAAAATAAAAAGTTTTGAAAGGCAAAATATACATAAAGATACATTTAGCAATAAAGGTGTTGTTAAGGAACCACTGAATTTATTGTAGTTGCTACCAAGGTGGTGATTGATGTAGATATTTTTTTACAGGTTTTTTATACAAGGAAATTACAGGAGCAGCTTACAATGATTGAAAAAGATGTAAGTGTTGTAAGAATTCTCATTGATATTAAACTGATTTGTTAGTATAATTCTTTCATCCCTGTATCAAATAGAAGTTATGGTATTGTGCAGATTTTAATTTTTTTTTTTTTTTTTTTTTTTTCTTTGTCTTCTTTTTTTTTAATTACTTACTGAAACTTCTAGTATAGTGACCGTGAAGCAAGAGAGTTATGGTCAAAGTTGCAGCGGAAAATACCGGAATACTTTAAGGACATTGAAGTGAAGCCATCACTTGTTCACGGAGATCTTTGGAGTGGCAATGCGGCAGAGACAGCTGATGGTCCAGGTGAGACAGTGCTCTTCCATATCACAATCCAATGATGTTTTGGAATGAAAGGGTTATTGAAAACATTTAGATATTTGGCTTACGAATAATACTTATTTGGTATTATTTCCAATTTGTAATTTGTTTCCTATCTCTTGTTACTTCCTCTTTTTGTAGTTATATTTGACCCAGCTTCTTTCTACGGCCACCACGAATATGACTTGGGAATCGCAGGGATGTTTGGAGGTTTTAGTCGCAAATTCTGGGATGGATATCACAGTGTTATTCCAAAAGCACCAGGCTTTAGCAACAGGCACAAGCTCTATCAGCTGTTCCATAACCTGAACCACTGGTAGGCTGCATATGATTATGTTTTGAATATATGTGTAAAACCTTTCAGCATATAAAAGTGACATGGCATATAATTTACATATCATGTTTATATATTTTATACTTTCAGGAATCATTTTGGAAGTGGATATCGAAGTGGAAGTCTGCATTTGATGAGGACCTTGTGCTAAAAATGCATTATAATATTAATAAAGTTGTTACATTTGTAAGACTACTACACACATGTAATTACCAATTCTACATAGTCAATTATCTTCTGATGTCCAGTTTTGTTTAGCAATGTGCTGTCATTAATATTCACTTGTATTTTATCAGTTTTGCTATACTGTTAGATGAAAATATGTTGTG